AAATCATAGGGAGCAATCATGCAATTCGGACGAGACTAATGTTATTGAGGATTTTTCGGATGACGGTGATGTGATGTTGATCGTGGTATTTGACGTGGAGTCTAAACTTGACGATGAGTGGATTATCTATTAGGCATGTTCGCATTGTAGGTGTTACAAGCGAAATTTCTTTCAAGCAAATGAGGCTGTCAAGTAAGGTGAAGTTGTGATGGGAAACAACTAGTCTTGCCATACTGCTGAAATCGATCGAGTCACATTAAGGTTGCAGGATGGGATGATCAGAACAATTGATTAGGTTTGACATGTTCCATATATAAAAAGGAATCTCATCTCTATGAGTACCTTGAATTCAAAAGGCTATAATTTCTCTGGTGGAGGTGGAGTCTTGAAAGTTCGAAAGGGTGTCCGATTTGTACTGGAGGGACGAAAGAAGTCTCAGTTGTACATCTTACAAGGAAGCGCATAACTAGTTAAGAGACATCTGGATAAGTTCAGTATCGTGGTGGATATTTAGTTTGGTACATCATCTCTTATGACGGGCTCTGGGTCAATTTCAGAACATTGCTCAGGAAAGCATTGATGATTCCGCTTTGCCACCAATTTCAACAGATACACTGTATTCAGTTGTTAGAGTTGGACTCATGGAGCGTAGGTACACTGGTGTTTGTAATGCTTTCGAGATCGTTGAATGTGATAGTTCTAACAAGGGGTTTATTGATCAGGCATTTGGTGTGGTTTTGCTATAGGGTGTGTTTTGGTTTTGTTTGGTCAACAGTAATTCCTTGGTGAAATTTTGGGAACCTGAAAGTTGGATTCGAGCGTCGCTTATGGACGCCCAGGTAGATGAAGATTTTTTTTTTGATAGAGTGTTTTAGTTACTGTTTTGAAGAGTTCGGTTATTTCGATGTAGTTGGATATATTTTTTCAGGTGGAGAAATTTTAGAACTTTGTTCGTTGTATCATAATTTGGGTTAAGGTAGAGATTGTTGAATATATGACCCAAATTAGGAAAAAAAATGTTACCTTATTTTCATGTGAAAAAAATTGTTTTTTATTTTCACGTAATTTTATTTGAAATATATTATTTTTTCTTATTCTATATTATTTTCATCTTTATGGTATAATATGTACATATAAATAGTGGCCTATTCTTTCAGTTTAGTTCAAACAAAAATTCACGTGTTGTAATTTTATCACCATATTATTATATATTAAAATATCGTTTCTTTTGCTTAATTTTCTTTGATTTTTTTTCATCTTTGTACTCTTATTACATATTTCATACAATCTTATTAATCTCAATCTTTGTGTCACCTTTGTGATCAACAGAAACATCTACAGGAGTTGAATTCTCCAGTTTGTGGATGTAGAAGATAAGAATTATGAAGCGTCAAACATTGTTCAAGGAAAATAAGTCGGGCGGTGCCCTCCAGGACATAGCTCAGTGGTGTAAAGAATAGGAGTGAGGTAATCTCACGTCTTGCTGGCAGCCGTAGTGTGGGGGAGTTGATTCCTTAGACATGAAATTGGATTTCTTGTAGGCGCAATATACAAATAGTTCTTGTTACTTAGTCTGCTGTGGCACATTTCGTAATTTACATCATTCACAAAGTTTTAAGAACGGGACGATGGGGGCCTTCAAAGTTAAGGTTTAACATTCAAGCTGGGGGTTTAACATTTAAATAAGTCGGGCGATGTGCGAGAGAAAAAAAAAATGAAGTAACAAAATGATGATGTGGTTTGGTCTCGAGTCCCAAAAAGCTTATTAGTATTAAATTATTAGACCCATGATTTGATTTGTACCAATAAGTCCAAGTTAACTTTTTGCTATTGAAAAAGAAAGGAAGATAACACTATTTTATGGGAGGGAAGAATCTTTACAAATCACGCCGTTGATGTAACGAGTGGAATTCCAAAAGAATCCTTAGTCCCTATTTATTTGTCATTATTAAATGAAAAGGAGTTTTAAAATAGCGATTTTTTTTGAGTATGTGTGATTAAAAAATAAAAAAATTTAAATTTATATGTAAAATATATTATTGTGAGAACACATGATTAAAAATAAATTAAAAAAATTAAAATATTGGTAGACAAATAAAGACTTAATCTCAAGACATAGCTCTTGTTTGAGCCTCATTCTTTAAAAAAAATATTTTTAAACAGCACTTTTGACATTATTTTAATCATATATTTTTTAATAAAATAATAGTATACGTAAATTAAAAATATTTTCTTATTTTTTTAAACACATATTTTTCATTAATAAACCATTCAAAAATATATTTTTTCGGCATAATGTTTCACATGGAAATAATGTAATGAATTCTATTTTAATTTAATTTTTAATTTGCATTAGGTCTAGATTGAAAAAAACATCTGGTATATTTTTTGAGGAGTAGTGTAGGACAGCTTTGTACCATCTTTTGGACAGGAAATTTTAATTTCACTAAAGTTGGCAATGTCCCACCAAGGACACCTTTATGCTTGAACAAATCTCAATAATTGAATCCTGGCACAAGCTTTTGTACACCTAGTAAAAGCATTAAATGACACGAGTAATATAGGCTTCACAAGCCATTCAAATAGGCGCTATATCTTTACATTTAGCCCCTATTTTGTCATCGTTCATACCAATCATTTTAAAAACGAATTTTTAAATCATTTAAAATCAGTGATCTGAATTTTTCAACAGACTTTGTAACCCAACTTTGTACAAATAACTTTATTGTGACCAATTTGTTCCTTCATAAGAAAGTTCATTACTCTTTTAAGTAATGGCAATTGGATAGAATATATCCTGTGCAGTCAGAAATTATAGAGCAGTTGAATCCCACTGACTATTTCAAGTGCAAAAAACTCATTAAAATTTGGCCACAATGTCCTCTAGACAAGAGATTAATTAAATGACCATTATCATAGAGGATAACATGTTCGACAACTGTTTTTATAGTTAATATATACCCTGACAAGGACTATGTCTAAGTATTCCTTTAAAATTTTACATATCGTCCAATTCAAAGGCGGCCAAGAATGACTAACAAAATAGAGAAGAAGCAGACTCTATGCACAGGAGGAGGGGGCGAGGTGTCACAAAACCCCTCCAGATAAGACACAGCGAGGCCATTTTTCTCTACAATAAAATATTCACATCGGGGTGGCTATGTAAGAATTCTATCAACATTCTCTTAAAGATATTTCTGTACACATGGAATTGATGAAAAGGGAAACTTGGATTACACATTTGAGGTCACAGAACCCCTTCATATAAGACACAGCAAGGGTTTTTTTTAAAATATTCACATGGGAATGGCTATGTGAGAACTCTGTAAGCATTCTGTGAAAGCTACTTTTGTACACATGGAATTAATGAAAAGGGAAACTTGGATTACACATTGTTAGGTTTTGCAAAGCCAAACAAAAGCTTTATACTTGTACCCCAAAATTGAGGAAATTAGATGATAAAATCGGACCAACATAAATATATACCATAGAATGTTGTCTATCATCAACATCGGGCGGGCCTGATCAACGGCACTGATTGAAAGGGACATGAGGGAGAAAACAGTCCGTGCAAAAACTTGATACTTTAATGATAATATCCGATGTTTATTGTACATTAATATTACTTTTTCTTCGCTGGTCAAATTGAGGACTTGAAGATTAGATTTTTAATTAATTTATAGAAGATTGCAGGGACCCAAAAGTTAATATTTTTTAGCTGATGATGGGCCCATATTATTTATTAGAGTTTCATATGACCCTCATCATCCTTAATAAGAACTTTAAAAGCCCACTTTTGATAATCTAATATTATCAATACATTTTCTTTGGAAAAAAACATGTGTTGCTAATATTTCTCTTGTTTTTAATATGCAAAAAGTCGGGTCGCCTCTATATGAGATGAAGAAGTAAGAGCGCAATGAGCAAAACAATTACTTTAGAAGGACTACTAGATATTTAGTACGTAGATATAGAGCCTGTTTGGGAGTGATTTTGAGAATTGATTTTTTGATTGTTAGAAGAAAAGTGGAATCTACCTGTGAGAGAAGAATTCAAATATGACGGCTGAAATAGTGAAATAACGGTCAAAAAATCAATTTTTTGGGTAAAAAAATCGAGCCCAAACAGGCCCAAAATGTTATTTTCAAATTTCAAAAATGCATATATGAAATTCGAAAAGTCAGTACAAATCACCTCATTTAATTAATGCGTGATAAATGTCAATTTGGACAAGACCTTTTCCTATGCAATAAAACATCAAAGTCTGTACCTAACTTAATTGTGAATAAAATACACATGCAAGTGTGGCATACCTCTTGTCGACTATAGCATTTACATCCAATATAAGGTGGAATGAAAATTCAGGAAGAGGAATGTTATCCTCCAAAAATCAATCACATTTGAACCCTTACCCAGTACTCTTTCAAAGAAAAGATAATAATATTATAAATTTTAAGCAACAAACACCACATTTTATCAAGAATATAGTTTTCATGAGCATGAGACATTTATGATTATCTTCTAATTATACTATTTTATTGCATCACATAAATTATAAAATACGTCCCAATTTTACGGGAGAATGTAGTCATCCCATTACCACATAGACGGTTGTTTGTAACATTTCTCTTTCAGGATTGAGGAGATTGTTTTCTGATCATTTCAATACATAAGATATAGCTGACATTGTTGAAATAATAACTCTTCCTCACAACTAACAATGCCAGATAGGGCAAGATCTCTCACCAAAAGTTTTAGTTACTCTACCCTCCATCATTCTTCAGGAAATATCCACACTATCTAGAATTTACTTACAAATTCGATGAGGTTAATATATTTACATGAGTAATACTATACATCATCACTAGTTTACGCGGCACTGGTCCATTACCGTGGTAGACTAACAAATAGCAGTATTCTTTTATTTATGAATATTACTAGACTATCATTCATTATCAAGCGAATGATGAATACCTTTATTATTTATTTACTAAAAGATGTGATTATGAACCTTACTCTCACATAAACTGATAGTGGACTCCAGTAAGCAACAAAACAGAAGCAAAATTGATTTGCATGTAGTATATACAACAGCAATTGATTTAATATTATCTATGCCTTTCACCATCAATGCGGGAATATATCAATAATTCAATGCCCCCACTTTAATACTGCCAAGACATTTCCACCTCCAGGCTCCAGCCTTTACTACTCTATTTCCCAATAGTCCAGAAAAAACATTCACTAGTGGATGAATTAGGCTCTAAAGCCACATTGAATACTTTATGCCATCTCTCCCTCGTGTCATTTAAAATTGGGTAATAGTCGCCCCTTGGGGCACAGTTCAACTGGTGGATCAATCAACATTTGTCTTGCTTCCAGCAGCAGGGTCGAGGTTCGAATCTTGGGGTGGAGGTTCGAATCTTGGTGGGAACCTGCGGTCAGATTTATTTGGTATGAAGCAATCACTTTGGAGGAGGATCTCTTGTGCGCAGAAGTGTACAGGCGGTGGGGGGAACCAGTGATCCAATTGAGGCATAACCTGTAATTTACCCCCTCCAAGGTTCTAGGGGCAAAGAACTTGGGGGTCCAAGATTTAGTTTAGTGTAAGTTGGGATATCTGAATATAAAAAAATAATAATAATAAATAAATAAATATTGGGTAATAGTCCTACGAATCACCATATAATCTGAATTTAATATAATACGTGTCTTTTATGTAGCAGAGATGTACTTATTCTACTGAACAAAGCATATCAAACACGTTGAATAATTTATCTGATTTAATATTTTAGAGCATAATTGAAATATGAGCCTTTGTTTGCTACTATCTAGCTGGCCATCATGTTAAACTAGGAAATTAGTTAGAATCTATTTGGGAGTGATTTTAATAATTGATTTTTTGATCGTTAGGAGAAAAGTAGGCTAACCTGTGAGAGAAGAAGTCAAATATGACGTCTAAAATAATGAAATAACGGTCAAAAAATTAATTATTTGAACCAAAAAATCACTCCCAAACTTGTTGTTAGTGTTTTTTTCTTTTCTTTTCTTTATACTAATAGCCAAATGAAATTACAAGAAGATATAAGCTTACATAATTCTTTCTGGTCAGTCATATATGTGTGTGGTTTCTGGATCTCCCATTCCACTCTCCCCATCACATATATTCAAAAACTGAAAAAGTAACATGTCTGTAGCATATTAGAATATCCTTTAGATTTGCTTCACTACACATAAACTCTATAAAAGACCCTAAATCTCAAACACAAATTCTTCACACTGATACAAGTACTTGTTCCAGATTCAGAGTGAGAGAAAATGGTGCTGGAAGAAATGCTGAGGTCCAACAGTGGTTCAAGTAAGCTCTAACTTCTTTCTAAATAATTTTTTCACAATCAACATGCACGTCTACAAGTGAATTCAAAGGGGAAAAGACAATGGAAAAACTATAAAGTTTATGAGATTCCAATTTCAAGGTAATTGTTGAATACTGATATGATGTTCATTCTGTGGTTAGAGTCATATTTTACTTATATCTTTCTTCCCATTTTTTATTACAACAAAACATTGGTTTTGCCGTTTGAAAACTGTTTCAATTTGTCCCTTTGGATACAGGATGCTAAGAAGGTTGTGATTAAGATGTAGATTATTCATCCTTGTTTCGAAAAATGTAAAAGAAAGAAAATGAAGAAAAGGGTTGAGATTGATGCATGAAATTGCATTTAGATTTTTATTTTAATGGAAAAAGCTGGTTAGCTATGATGCACCGACGGGATACATGTCGGCATTCATAAAGTACCCACACATCACATTGATTAAATTTTTTAAAATTCTTAATTTATATAATATAAATTTAATTTTATACTTGTTATTAATTTTTTTGTTGAAATCTTTTAAATATAATTACTTATTTGTTATTTAACCGTTGTTTGATTTCCATTATTTTCATAATAAATTTGTCTCTCTTCTTCTCAATTATACATTCTTCAATAACATAATATTATATTCATATTCAAAATATTTCCTTATTTTTTAACCACATAATTTCTATCAATCTACTATTTCAAAATGCATTATTTTCTTTTCAATTATACATTCTTCAATAATATAATATTATATTCATATTCAAAAATTTTCCTTATTTTTTAATCACACAATTTCTATCAATCTACTATTTCAAAATGCATTCTTGGCTAAGAAGGGAGTTCAAACAAGGGCTTGATAATGAGTTTGAATTAAAATACATAATACTTCCAATAAAGAAAGAAAAATGGTCATGAGCGTTAGAGAAGTATCAGGATCCGACACATGTCAAACATGAACACGCTGATCCAATTGAAATGTCCGCGCAACATAGCTGGTTAGATCTTTTGGTTTTAATATTATAGCCAATTCCTGTCAAAGCTCATCCGTGTACATGTGCAGGATAGAAAAATATGGTGCTGAAGTTTTTGATCCTGAAAGGGAAGTCATTTATTGGATTTAGATCTACCTGCTAAATCCAAGTTCCAAGAACAAAAATTCTCCTTCTCTTTGGGGCGGGGGGGAAGGGCACAGCTGGGTCTCACTTCTGGGATTTACTGTACTAATTGTGCATTTTTAGAAAGCATCAGTACATGAAAATGCATTTGCCCCAGTATTCCTTTTCACATGGAACATGTTCAGCCAAAGTTATTCCCATGAAAATTTACCAATCTGTTACTCTTCAAAAAGTGATTGTAAAGGATCTGCAGGCTCTCGATATAAAAATAATAAATTGGCAAAATTGAGAATTGATAGGTTCTTTTAATATAAAATATTCCTAAAGAGGCTAACAAATAAGACAGAATCTGAGAACAATCAAAAAATAATTTCAACAAAGTATAACAATGTGCTGGCTCCGAAAGAGAAAAAGACAAAGACTAAAGACTTGTGTTAGGTTAGTGTCCAAAATTACTTGCCTTTTTTATTCTATGGGCAATGTAGACATATCAGACTGACACCCTGCTTCCCAAATATGCTTGATGAAGAAATTTTCTCCTTGACGTATGACTTGGTTGATCTGTATAGATAATGTTACAATCTGGTCAAGCATTTAAGAGGGAAGACATGTATTATTTGACCAACAAAAAATTGTTTTGAGAACAATATATACACATAGATGAGTCCATAATATTATATTAATTTTTATTTTCTGTTACATTACTTTTGAGTGCTTTAGTTTGTGTATGTTATATTTTAAATGATAAACAGATATTGGCAGACTACAAAACTTTATATTGTCCTCGTTTGGCCCCCATTAAATTCCATTGCATTACATTCTATTTTTTTCTCTCTTATTTTCAACCACATAATCTTTCATAAAATAATATTACACGTAAATCGAAAATTTTTCCATCTTTTTTAACCACTCATTTTAAAAAAAAAAAAACACTATTCCACATATTTTCATCATCACGAAATGGGGGCCAAACGGGGGCAATTCATTGAACTTTGCAAACATTTGGAAATCTGCAGTCCCTACTCAGGAATACCATTTAGGTTAGTTATCATACAAGATATTACAATAGATTCAGAAAATTTGAGCAACAAAGCACTTGTTAATGGCAAACATATCAAAATCATATTGAATGAGAAATAAACTAGTGCATGTACCTGTCAATGAAATAAAGGACTTATGTGAATATCCCAAAAAAGTACAAAAGTGAATTTTCACCACTAAGCATCAAAAGTATTTAGTCACACCAGAATCTAAGTTCTAGCAGGTTTCAAGTCTAAGAACAATTTTACACAGTTGGATATCAGATATTAGAGAACCTGGAGAATTCCCATCATCACCAGTGTTACAGGACACAAGTGAATAGCATTTCCTAGGAAACTTGTCGAACATCTCTGCCTGATGGTTGCAACCAGATTCAGATTTCTGCTTTTCCTCTGGCATTATCATCCTTACATAGGATTAAATACAGGACATTATTAGGTTGTCTTCTGCATAGTGAACGCATTTTAATTCTTGCCAGCACGATAAATTGTCACCTTAGTTGCACTTGTAAATGCCATTTTAGTTATTGTCTCCTTTCAAATGGTTCGGACCCTGATAGTGCAATTCATATGATATGGCAAGAAAATTTAAAAATAATAATAATAATAAAAATCAGAAATAGGTTATTTTATTTTCAAAACTGACAGCATGAAGTAAAATGCTTGCATCTGCTTATCTCATTTTGTTTTACAATATTTGACAGATTTGAGGTTCCCACAATTTCGGGTTCCATGGCCAGAAATAATCTCCTCCTGCCACTGGGAATATGCCAGCATAGTTCTACAAGTTGGATTCCTGGGCATCGTGTTGCTCCACTTCATAAGAAACAGCGTGGAATCACGTTGCAGAGGCCGAAACAAGGTGAAGAATGTAGAAAAATATCCCACACGTCTGAAATTAGGCCTCTCTTACAAACTCAGCGTAATCTGTTCTATTGTGGTGCTGTGTACTCATTGTGTGATGCTGTTGATGTTGCTGATTTTGGAAAGTAGAAGTGGTGCTCAGTGCGAATCCAGGGTTCCAGTTCTTTTATCCAGAACTATGCAAATAATATCATGGGCAATCACATTGATTGCACTGTGCAGGGTTTTTAATAGAAAATATAACAAGTTCCCATGGATCTTGAGAATCTGGTGGACATCCAGCTTCTTGTTGTCTCTGGTTCGTGCCATGATTGATGTACATTACACAATAACGAACCATGACAACCTGAGGGTACAAGAATATGCTGATATAGTCAGTTTTATTGCTTCTACCTGTCTACTAGGTGTATCAATCAGCGGGAGCACAGGCATAGCTCCGATGATCTCAAACAGCACCACAGAACCCCTTCTAAATGGGAAAACTGAAAAGCATTCAGAAGTAAAAAGAGACTGTCCTTATGGGAAAGCTACGCTGGTGCAACTTGTTACATTTTCTTGGCTTAATTCACTGTTTGAGACTGGGATTAAGAAGCCTCTTGACCAGGATGAAGTCCCAGATATTGATATCAAGGACTCTGCAAGTGTCCTATCCCAGTACTTCGATGAGTGCCTCAAGCACACAAAAGAAAAAGATGGGACAACAATATCATCTGTCTATCGGGCTATTTACATATTTGCGAGAAAAAAGGCAGCCATCAATGCACTTTTTGCAGTTACAAGTGCAGGAACATCATATGTAGGACCATATCTAATTAATTACTTTGTAGATTTCCTAACTGAAAAGAAATTCAGGAGCCTGGGTTTTGGCTACCTTCTAGCACTAGGCTTCCTTGGGGCAAAACTAATCGAGACAACTGCACAGAGGCAGTGGATTTTCGGAGCACGCCAGCTGGGACTTAGACTGCGAGCCGCTTTGATATCTCACATCTATAAAAAGGGCCTGATCTTGTCAAGCCAATCACGCCAGAGCTGCAACACTGGAGAGATCATCAACTATATGAGCGTGGATGTCCAAAGAATCACGGACTTCATATGGTATTTGAATATAATTTGGATGTTGCCAGTACAAATCTCCCTAGCAATCTATGTTTTACATGTTAATCTAGGAATGGGAGCTCTAATTGCATTAGCTGCAACTTTAACAGTAATGGCTGTAAACATACCATTGACAAGGATTCAGAAAAGATTTCAGACGAAAATTATGGAAGCCAAGGATGACAGAATGAAAACCACGTCAGAAGTTCTTCGAAACATGAAGACACTCAAACTTCAAGCATGGGATACTCATTACCTCAAAAATCTAGAAAACCTGAGGAGAACAGAGCATAATTGGTTATGGAAATCACTTAGATTACAAGCATTAACAACATTCATCTTCTGGGGCTCACCAACTTTTATTTCCGTGATTACTTTTGGTGGGTGTGTTTTGATTGGGATTCCTCTCACTGCTGGGAGAGTCTTATCAGCATTGGCTACATTCCGGATGCTTCAAGATCCTATATTCAATCTACCAGACTTACTCAATACAATTGCACAAGCGAGAGTTTCGGCTGATAGAATTTCTTCTTATCTCCAGGAAGATGAGATCAATTCAGATGCAGTTAAATTTGTTCCTAGAGATCAGACAGAATTTGAGATTGAGATTGATGGTGGTAAATTCAGCTGGGACATGGAATCAAGAAGTCCGACACTGGATGAGATACGTCTTGTAGTTAAAAGGGGAATGAAGGTGGCGATATGTGGTCCTGTTGGATCTGGGAAATCCAGTTTACTCTCATGCATACTCGGAGAGATGCAGAGACTGTCTGGGATTGTGAGGATTAGTGGATCCAAGGCCTATGTTCCACAGTCCCCATGGATACTGACAGGAAATATCAGAGAGAATATACTCTTTGGAAAGCCATATGACAGTGCCAAGTATGATAAAACAGTTGAAGCCTGTGCTTTGACGAAGGATTTTGAGCTATTCGCTGCAGGGGACTTAACCGAAATAGGAGAAAGAGGAATAAATATGAGTGGAGGCCAGAAGCAAAGAATACAAATTGCCCGTGCCGTGTACCAGGATGCCGATATATACCTACTTGATGACCCTTTCAGCGCTGTGGATGCTCATACTGGCACCCAACTCTTTCAGGTTAATAATTCTATAGACTGTGTCTAGAGATTGATTGTCTAGGTGCCTTAGCACTCTCTCTTGAAATAAAGCGACACTGATGAAATTGATAATCCATAATCCACAGGACTGCTTGATGGGAATTCTCAAGGACAAAACAATACTTTATGTTACACACCAAGTTGAATTTCTTCCTGCAGCAGACCTCATTATGGTAAGTACTGAGTATTAAGAAACAGTTAAATTAATTGTCCAGTCAAATCAAGCATGAAATTTAGTTGCATTCTCACCCCAAGTATGATCTTATTCTGGACCCTTACATATGTTTGCATATCTTGGCATATTATAATTAATTATACAAAAAATTGCTGATGGTATTGTAAAAGATAAAGAAAATAAGCTTTTGCTCGATCTTTATTCCTAGAATAGAACAAGACTTCAACACACATGATTGCAATTTCTAGTTAAAGGTTTCACATAAATGTTGCAAACAGGTGATGCAAAATGGAAGAATTTCACAAGCTGGTACATTTGAAGAACTTTTGAAACAAAATATTGGATTTGAAGTTCTAGTTGGAGCTCATTGCCAAGCTCTAGAATCAGTCTTGACAGTTGAAAGCTCAAGTAGAACATCTGAATATGCAGCAATTGAAAATGAAACAGATACAGACAATACTATAAATGAAGAATTTCCACGTACTAAGCAAGACTCAGAGCATAACTTATGTGTTGAGATGAAAGAAAAAGGAAGGCTGGTGCAGGATGAAGAAAGAGAGAAAGGAAGCATTGGAAAAGAAGTTTACTTGTCTTACTTGACCACCGTGAAAGGTGGTGTCTTAGTTCCAATTATTCTTCTCGCACAATCATCATTTCAAGTGTTACAAATAGCCAGCAACTACTGGATGGCATGGGCTTGTCCGACTGGCGCAGTTGAGCCCAAACTTGGGATGCATTTCATATTACTTGTATATACACTTCTTGCTGTCGGAAGTTCATTTTGTGTGTTGATCCGAGCCTCTTTAGTGGCTATTACTGGGTTGTTGACATCAGAAAAGCTCTTCAGCAATATGCTGCACAGTGTTCTCCGTGCTCCGATGGCGTTCTTTGACTCCACCCCAGCAGGAAGAATCTTAAATCGGGTATGTAAGCTTCTGTTTGATGTAAATGGAATGTTATTCTGGTTGTGATTAACGAAGGTCAGCTAACACAATATCATGCGAGAAAGAACTATACCTGTAATCTAAGAATAAAATACAATAATCACATTAATGAGATAAATGCCTAGAATAAATAAGTATGAATATGCAACTTCTTAAAGATGAAGGTTTGTGATAGTTATATTAAATTATTCATTGAAGAATGTGGGGAAAAGATAGGAGGAAAAATAAGTAAAATCTTGTTTGTTCTTTCACATCACCAACACTATTGCCCATGGAAAACTAACAATTCATAAGAAATTATCAATATAACTTGCCAAAAAGAGGTGCAATATATAAGTGACTTCTTTAAGCTTCCTAGTTCCTTCAATCATGATCTCATCTAAAAAACTCATTAGTCCTATCTGTCTGAGACATCCCAATTATTCCACATCAGAGGAACGTGGAGTTAAGTGGGATGTTCAAAAATTAACTTGGCTTAGCCATTATGGGCTGGTAGCTATTGATCCAAGTAGATATTTCAATCTATAGGAGGTATAGCCAATGATTCAGGGCATTACAAATGGTATCATACACAACTCCCAAGTATTGGTGTCCTTGGATCCCAACAGAAGTTCACCAGAGAAGGTCCTGGAATGTGGTTATTCCATGATGAGGATATAGCCTTCACAAGGAAGGGAGATTGTAATGTCCAGTGTATACCACGTTGGTAGAAACTTCAAGTGGAGAGCTCGTCATAAGGCATTGGGCGACTTGATAAATTAATTCAGTCTTAGTGATTTTAGACCTAGTGGGTATTGCCTCAAGCAATTAATTCTTCAACACACTATGAATGGGCCTATGAGTCTTCAGCATTATTCTGAGAGTCATAGTCAACTCCATAGAAGCATCTCTAAAGGACAGCGACATAACAGAACACATAAATGGAAATCTTGAAATGCTAAATGATGTCTGTGAGTATGAAGACTTCAATGTGCAAAATCAGTTGGAAATTATTGTTTGATAACAAAAACTATATGGTGAAGTTTCCATATACTTTCTTTTTCTGAATACTTTTGAGGTCAAATTTTCTTGATATTCTCCACCCCCAATTTTTGACAGGCATCTACAGACCAAAGCGTCCTAGATTTGGAGATGGCAAACAAATTGGGTTGGTGTGCTTTCTCAGTAATCCAACTTCTTGGGACTATAGCAGTCATGTCACAAGTTGCATGGGAAGTATTTGTCATCTTCATTCCGGTGACGGCCATTTGCATCTGGTATCAGGTGAGTAGGAGCATCAAATTTGTTGGAGAAGTGAAACTTTCAATTTATACTATGGACTTCATAAGTAATTAAAATATAGATGCCCTATCCTACTTATACAGAATCTTGACTGAATTTATAGGAAGTATCTATTGTCATCTTTTATGGTTATGGAACTTTAGATAATGACTATAACTTATTGGTCATTGTCAGCAATATTACATACCAACTGCAAGAGAACTGGCACGTCTAGCTGGAATACAACGAGCTCCAATCCTCCACCATTTTGCAGAATCACTTGCAGGAACAGCAACAATTCGTGCTTTTGAGCAACAAGAACGCTTCACCAATGCGAATCTCTGCCTCATCGACAACCATTCAAGGCCATGGTTTCATAATGTCTCAGCAATGGAGTGGCTTTCTTTCAGACTGAATCAGTTAGCCAATTTTGTGTTTGCGTTCTCCCTGGTTTTGCTAGTGACACTTCCTGAAGGGATCATAAATCCTAGTAAGTGAAAAGACATTTTTGTGATTGCTGGTTCACAAGAATATATTATTACTATAACAGTTAACCAGAATAAATATGATGTAAAAAACTCTCATTCCATGAGATACTTTGTCTATAATAAACCAGGAAGTAAATACCACTAACGATAGACATGTATAATTAAGTTATCTGATGTTTTATCTTGTCTTCTGAAAAATACTAAAATCTGATGTTTTAACTTGTCTTCTGAAAAAAGACTAAGTAATTGATAGTTGAGGACACCAGCACATGAAACTCATTACCCATATATCTTACAGGCATTGCAGGTCTAGCAGTCACTTATGGAATAAATTTGAATGTTCTGCAAGCTTCAGTTATATGGAATATATGCAATGCAGAAAATAAAATGATATCAGTTGAAAGAATTCTTCAGTACTCAAATCTTGCAAGTGAAGCCCCTCTCATGATTGATGATTGTACGCCTCCGGCCAACTGGCCAGATATTGGAAAAATTTGTTTCACAAATTTGCAGGTGAGAGTCTTGAAAAGGTTATCACTGTCAAAATGAGTACAGCTGTTTATGGGCATTATTTGGTATTGGGTAATTGGAAGTTAAGGTGATTCCATGTTGAAAATCAGTTTCAAATTTACACATACCTAGATGCTTCACAAGGTTTTAAATGTGCATATTGTGATACAAATCCTACCGGTGAAGAATAAATACTGAAATATTTTTTAATTTGCTAATTTGAATACATTCTTCTCCATGTAGATTCGCTATGTTGAACATCTTCCATCTGTTTTGAAAAGTATTACCTGCACATTTCCTGGGGGGAAGAAAATTGGCGTTGTTGGAAGGACGGGGAGCGGAAAGTCGACCCTCATACAGGCTATCTTTCGAACAGTAGAACCCAGAGAGGGAAGAATTGTCATTGACGATGTTGATATATCCAAGATAGGTCTTCATGACTTGAGATCGAGGCTTAGCATCATTCCTCAGGATCCAGCAATGTTTGAGGGAACAGTTAGAGGAAATCTCGACCCACTCGAGCAATATCCTGACTCTGCAATTTGGGAGGTAAGGAAAATATATTTGAGATGTCATCAACTGAACTTGAATAAATGATTCTGCAGGCAGGCAGAGAATATAATTTGAACATAAACTAGATAAAAAATGATGGTCTTGATGCTCCCAACCCCCACTGAAATCTCCAGGAGGAAAAAAAAGATAAGCGAGGGATAAGAGCATTTAGTTTTTGGTGTGGATTGGAAGAAAGAAAAAAAATCTTATTTCGACTTTTATTTTTCAAGTAACGACATTGAGGTTGTGCTACGGTTAGCTGGTAAAAAATTCCAGTGTTCAGACATCAGCAAAATAACTACAAATTTTATCTCTAAATGAGGAAACATCAAATAAAGTAAACCCATACAAGTTATTTCACAGAACAAGGTTGCCACTAAAGTATCTTCTTTCAGGCTCTGGATAAATGTCAACTCGGAGATGTTATACGTCAAAAGGCAGAAAAGCTGGAAGCTACAGGTCAGTTTTTCATTTTTGACTACTGTCAATAGTTTCGGTCTTTGCTAACACTGTAAATTCATTTTATCCCTTCAAAATTAATAATAAAAGGTATGATTTTAACAGTGGTTGAAAATGGAGAGAACTGGAGTGCAGGCCAAAGGCAGCTTTTCTGTCTTGGAAGAGCCTTATTAAAGAAAAGCAGCATTCTTGTTCTAGATGAAGCAACGGCTTCGGTTGATTCTGCAACTGATGGAGTGATACAGAAGATCATTACTCAAGAATTTAAAGATCGAACTGTTGTCACAATAGCTCACAGAATCCACACAGTAATAGATAGCAATCTAGTACTGGTCCTCAGTGATGGTAAGAAGAGTTATGCTTCTAAATTTGAGTGCTCTAGTCTGAATACCAGCCTCGTTTTGTCCTTTTGAGGTTTTAACGGATAAAATTTCTTGATAAAATTTCTTAATCTTTGAGCAGGAAGAATAGCTGAGTATGACACGCCAACTAAGCTATTGGAAAGAGAGAATTCTTTCTTCTCAAAACTAATCAAGGAGTACTCCACGAGATCTCAGAGTTTTAGCAGTTTATCAAAATTACAAGATTGAATAAATTTCTAAATTACTGGAAACTGAATGTGGGGGAATTTTCACAAAAAAATGATGTCACATTTCATTATCCAGCTTCAGAGAAATGAAGAATGAAGAGAAAAGCCTCTGCAAAAGAACATCTTACTCAGTTTGGAATCCCATGGCCACTTTATTAATATATTCTGCAATTAAACGCAGAAAGCTCCAAAAAAAGTCAGTTCAGATATCGTTTACCAGATGTTTCTTTATACAGGAAAGCACATAAGGATACTCATCACACTCTCCACAAAATCATGAGCTCTATTCAGATGATGGATTCGTGAATCAATATTGTTTTTATAAAATAAGTGTGACCATAAATTTTGAGCAATCAAAGTTGCTTTTGATGTGTAACATGTCAAATTTATTGTTTTTAGTCTTGAACCCTCTTTCACTCTACATGATGCACTTATAGCTGCTGATCCAGTACTTTCATTTTCTAATGAATAACACGTTCAAGGAAAGTTTAAAATGAACACCATTATAGTCCTTAAACTTAAAGATTAGGATCATCATGTCCTCGAATGCTATGGTTGATATGGAGTGCACGACATCTCAAGTGGGTGAACCACCTTCTCACTCAAAAAATCAAAAAAGACAAAAACCAATTCCCAAACCATGTTGATGTAGGAGCATATTAATTTGACGACAAGCAATTGAAGAACAAGAAGAGAAAGTCCAAGAAGAGAAGATTGAGGGCAAAGAAGAAAATCGATTTATCTCTTATTCAAGGGTACCTATTACTTTGAATAAACATTCTATATATAGAGCAACTAATTTAAACTAAAAAAAAAAAAACTAATAAACTAGAACTTCATCGAATTATTGAATCTAATCTAATCAAAATAAACCTAATTTTAGTACTCTATATTAAAATCAAATCTAACTTCTCTTTGCTAAAATATCAATATTAAATTCAAAACTCCCGGCAAATGGCCAGTGGCCCAAAGAAACGAAAGAATCGATTACATTTCTATCTTTATCGTTATTACTATCTCTATCTCCATTGCATATACTTTACCAAGTCTGATTAATGATAACCCATAGAAATCCATTTCAGCATTGTAGTTTAACAACCTTTTTGCATTCCAAACTCTGCAATTACCCTGCAGTTTGGTAAAAAGGATAATCACATGCATGATGAAACAGCCTATATCAAAATGAGCTCTTATGGAAATCAATTAAGGAGTTGGATACGTAAAAAATCATGATCTTGGGTAATGTGAAGAAATCAATTAAGGAGTTGGATCAGTTTATCATATACGAAGTGTATGTACTTACAAGCATAAAGCTTCAACACGCAATCTCACTATTTAGCATGTATGAATACAACAGTTGCCAGGCAAGTATATACAAGAGTTTAGCACTGATCTACTCAATCAATCAACCAACAATAAAGACTAAAATTTTTGGACTTTCAGGGTCTTAATATTACAAGAACCAGATCAACCCTGTCAAACTCAACTATAAATACCTGTGCTTTGGGCGATAATGTCTTGGCATTTGAAGTCAAGACCTTAATTCCTCGTACCAGTATATAATCTTTCTTCCATTGTAATCATTCCAAGAAATAATGAAACGGATGGATCAAGGAAAAATAAATAATAAAAAATCAACCTCAGATACTAACAGGAGTTATGTTATTGTGGGTGCCTATATATAAGCCGAGAAACGCAGAAAGTTCACAGTTCAAAATCCTATAAAGTTTAGCAATGAAAACTCCAGTTAAACCTAACAAAGCTAAGATTTCATCTCCAATTCTCATTGTTGGAATAAAACGTGATATTATGGAGTTGGATTTTCACACACTCTCAGAAACAGATTGCATTTATCAATGCCACTGTATTATTCTATGTTAGATGAGTTTCAATCTGTACCTACAATGGAATTTTCAAACTTGATCAGTTAGAATCAGATTTAGAGTGAGCTAAATTTTCAATTCCATTGATTACACAGTTTAAGATCTCCACTACTAATTCATCGGTTTTGGGAAATTTACAATGAAGTAAATTTTCATTACGTAGTTTCGAATCTCTATTACTTATGATCGAATTTACAAATTTGACGAGTTTAGCCAAATTTCTTCAAAACCATAACTCAATCTTAAGGAAAAAAATTCCATCCACCTAGTTTTTTACCGTAATAAACTTACTTTGCAACATAGAGATGAAAACACTGCTCACCCTAGACAACTGGTCGATTGGGGTACTTCATATCATCTACAAACCCTTCCCATATTACTAGCGTGGTGTTCGCCGACAACGGCAAAAGAGCTCCGGACGATCAAAAGTCGAAAGGCTCCGGCAACTACAAGTTCATGGGGATAGTTTGAGAATGGCCGGAAAATTCTTCCTATTTTCCACTTCTTTCATATTGAAAGTACTATTTTGTCCTTAATGAAATTATTTGTAAAATCTATCTTATATTTTTAAGAATTTATCAGTTAGATCCTATATTTATATTTTTCAATCTTTTGAACACTTTTAGATATTCTTTATATTTTAATAGTTCTTTAAAAATTATAGGTTGATCTTTCTTGGTTATGTATCCTTTAAATAATCATTCTGAGATTTCTTCTTGTATATCCGTATGTTTAGTTATAATATCTTTTACTTTTCTTATTTCTCTACTAGTTCCTACAGGATCAAATTCTATATTATTTCTACAATTATAATCTATATCTCTGTATATTTCTTCTATTTTTTCTTTACCAACAGGAAATATATCATCAGATTTTTTATCTAGTTTAAATAAGAACGAAACGTCTTTTTCATCTAAAATTAAAATAAGATTATTATCATCATTAATATTTGAAGTGGATGCTTGTGAATTGTTCATGTAGATAATTAAAACATAAGCATGTAAAAATAAGTAAATAACTTACAGTAATCAATTGGAAATAAACAGGCTCTCCCTCCAGTATGCTCTTATAGATGTTTTGCATGTACTTAATCAATCTTCTGAATCAAGTAAAGATTTAAAATGTTTTTTGAAATCATTTGGGTCCACAACTGCTTCCGCAAAAGACTTTTCAATTAAGGTTGCACTTCTCATTCTAGAGAACTAGCCGTATTTCCACAGACGCTATCTCACAGTATCCAGAGTCTCTGTTTTCACCTCTATCCAAACTCTTTTCAGAATCAAGTTCCTACTTGGAACGAAATTTTAAAAGATAACTCACACACAAGGTGCTACAAATTTTTGTTAGAAGACTGCCTTTTTCCCCTAACCATTCATCAAATACGGGTACTTTGGCATGACTAACATCCATTCAAAATCAAAATTTCGAAAATCTTTTAAAATCTCTATCTGTACTGCCGAGAAATCATGAGAAACTTAACGAAATCCTTTTATGTAAACTTTGTTGAACATAACAAACTTTACTTTAATATTCATGAACTGAAATTGTACATGCTTACAAACTATATTTACATACCTTTGGTACTCACCTTATGAAGTTTAGAACTCCATAAGTGATTACCTTATTACACACTTTCCTATCTTCAAGCTATCTAATATTTTTGTGAATACAAGTAGTGTAATCAGATTACAAAAGATTTCTCTCAAATGTGTTTAAGAGAAGTTATTTCAAGGTATTTCGAGATGTCTTCCTTCTTCCTTCATGCCTCCTTTTATAGGAGATTTTGGAATCTTATCTTGGACAGGTGTTTTCCACCTTTCTTTGTTGGGTAGCTGGACCATCTTATCTCCACCGAATTCTTCATTGTCTTTTTGATGGGTGGACCTCTTATTTTGAAATTGGATGCCTTATTTTTTATCTTTGTCTGCCACTTGTGACCATTGGTAGGAAGTAGTCACAATTATAAAGACTTTTCTTGCATTATCTTCCGTCTTCTAGTAGCCACAGTTTTTCTTTAATAAATTTTTTTATTAAAGTAGTGATAAAGGGCTACTTTAGTCATCATCACTTCTCCATTTTTGAATCAAAGAATTCTGCAGGGAATTCTTCATCATTAAGGGATGCTTGACTCATATCTTCAACAACACAGTATTCACAATGGTGATCACTGTAATTCCAAAGCATTTTGCATAATTCTTTAGCCATATCTTCTGATCCATTTACTTGGTTGGATATGATTGCTGATAATAAATGGTCGAGATAACAAATATCTTCTTCTTTCGTATCCATTCTTGCATTGGAATAGATAATATGATCTTCAGATGGATAAACCCATATTTTTTCTTTCTCAGTAATAATCTGAGTTACATGTTCAAATATCTCTTTATATCCTTTTGCTCTTCTATAAGGCATCATATTAAGAATATCTTGATATCCATTTTTAACAACCTTTTGATTGGCTGGTAAAAAATGTTGATTTGTAAGTCCCATTTTGATCACATGGAACGATGGATGCATATATTCAAGGACAGGATCCCATTCCATTGTTGCTGAATGGAATCTGATATATATATTTGTTGTTTTAACAACTTCAGTATATCTTTTAACAGCTTTCCTAATGTTGGCTGGAAGCTGAGCTATCTCCTTGAGATCTTTACTAGGATATATACAAAGTATATTTCCTATTTCAAAGCAATTTCGAACCCAGTTGGCTGGTGCTCCTGGATAAAAGTTTATCTTGTTGTATTTCGAATAGTGGAGAGTCTTCATCCACTTTCCAATCTCCAGATACCAATCTGATAAAATATTAAAAATAACAATAAAGAGTGTTACTTCTTTATGGTTATCTTTTTTGAGCATTTTTGCTTCATGGCATATCTTGACAATATCTTTGGGATCTATCCTTTCAATAGAAAGTTTAGATTGAGTTTGGCTCTGTGAAGAGCTACCTTCTCTTTTGATATCTTGAATATCTCTATTACCAGTAATAGGTTTAAATATTTCCTGTGGAGGGGTTCCTATTACCTTCTTTTCTTTCCCTTTATCCTCGGGGAGAGCGCTAGTATTCACAAGTCTCTGCGAAGGGATACTAGTCTTGGTACAAGTAATTTCTGCCTCTTGGGCTAAATTCTTGCCTCGAAGGCTATCTTGGATATTTTGAATTTGGGTTTTCAAATAGGAAACTTTTATCTCAAGTATCTGGACTTTCGTTTTTAATTGTTCTAGCTCCATCCCTGCTAAGATAATCAGGAAGAAAGTTAGCTTTTCCTTTAATATATTCAATATCAAATTTGAAATATGAAAACCAAATCTGTATCCTAATTATGTATGTATTAGTCACAGATGGATCAACATTATTTTTCAAAAATGCTTTAACTTGAGTATTATCAGTTCTAATCAAGAACTTCTTTGGTAATAAATAATCTTCATATTTTTGAACTCCTCTTTATACAGCAATGAGTTCTTTTCTATTCGTCTCATATCTTGTTTCAACTTCTTTGAATGTCCCTGATGTATAACCGCAAGTATCTCAGGGCAAGAACAATCTTTTTCACATTTATATTCTTTATGATTCTTTTTAACCTTTAATACTGCTCCCGAGTAGTAATCTGAAGCATCAGTTTCAAGGATAAAAAAATCTTCTTCTTGGGGTATTATGAGTTTAGGCAATACCTTTAATTCTTCTTTTACTTTTCTTATATTTTCACAATCTTGCTCTTCCCAAGACCACATTATATTTTTTCTTAATTTTGGAAGAAAATAATTTTTCAATTTGACACAATTTTCAATGAATCTTTCAGCATAATTTAATATACCGAGGAAGCTTTGTAATTATTTTTTATCTTTGATTTCTTCAGAAAATTCTTGAAGCTTTTCTCCAATATGGTATTGCAGTTGCAATTCTCATTCTTTTATAAATAATCCTAAGAATTCTATTTCTATTTTAGCTATCTCGGCTTTCTTTTGAGAAAGTGTAATACCATGTTTTTTCATAATATAACAGAATTTCTCAAGATACTCAATATATTCATCAATATTATTTGAATGAATAAGTAAATCATCTACGTATGCAATACAAAAATGAGTAATTGGTTTGATTACCTCATCCATTCTTCTCTGAAATATTTGTGGTGCATTTTTCAACCCAAATGGCATTACATTCCATTCGTATTGTCCTAAAGGATTGGGGGTACTAAATGCAGTTAGTGGTTTACTTTCTTCTGTAAGCATGATTTGCCAAAACCCTGACTTACAATCAAATTTTGAAAATATCTTTTTGTTCTGTACTTGTTTAATAAGGGTATCCTTATTTGGCAAGTAGTATCCATCAAACTTGGTAACTTCATTTAATTTTTTGTAGTTTATTACCATTCTGGATTTTCCTCTTTTTATCTCACTACGTTTTCTAACCATAAAGGCTGGGCTGCTATGTGGGCTTTTACTTGACCTAATCAATCTGGCTTCTAGCAATTCTTTTATCTGGTTTTTAAATTTCTTTTGATCATCAACACTATATTTCATAGGTTTGACCCTTACTATAGTATCTGGATTAA